TTTCTTTTAGATATTCCTTGCTTATTCTTCCCTTCACTTATTTCGTGACATCTTTCCTTCTTTTCTCTCGGTATCATCCATTTTTTATTTTCTCGACATCTTTTCTCTTTCTTTTTCACTATTTTTGCATTGTTTTTCTCTCTCTCTCTTTTCTTTCTGTTTCAATTGTCGCGCTTCTTTTTCAACAAGATTTAATTTATCCACCTTTTGTTCTCTCTTAGGCTCTCTCTCTCTCTCTCTTTTAGTTCTTTCGTTTTTATCGATATTCCCCGCGACTATTTTCTTCTTACACATTTCTAGCACTTACAAGATGGCCGACCTATTTACGGCTACAGAAGGAGATGCTCATTTTTCCTTTAACAGTCGAGAAAACCAAAATAGGCATTTCTCCTTAAATAAAGCAATAGAAAAGCAATTAAGTCTTGCATATTAACTTACGCTTACAATATTTCTTTTAAGCTTTGTCTTCCTGTATGTCTGTTTTACTCATTCTCTGTTTATGGCTATGCACGCGCATGCGTCCATTTGTTTCTGTATATATAATCTTCCTTCATATATTCGATCTTAATTAGTTCCTTTCTATGTCTTCTCTGTCTATTCTTATCTTGTTAAGCATATCCGATATCTATTCGCATCTTTCTATTCAAGAATATATATATATATATATATATATATGAAGATATATATATAGATAGATAGATAGATAGATAGATAGATAGATAGATAGACAGACAGACAGACATAGATAGATAGATAGATAGATAGATAGATAGATAGATAGATAGATAGATATATAGAGTTATATACGGAGGATCAATATAATTTATGAATTTACATGCCCCTTAAGGAACTGTTTTCCAGATCAAACCAAATTCATGTATAACTGTATTGTAGATACCCCTTTATGCTTATCGAGAAGACGTTTTTTCTACTTTTCTTCATCTGTCAGACTAAACCTCAATTAGGACCTACTTCAACATACATGGAAACTCACCAAACTCAGTTCGTAAAATTCTTATAGAAAATACATACAAAGGAAAAATACCTGTATGAAGGTGAGTATAGGAAACACTTGTACAAAAGAAAAAAACTGAATAAAAATCTTAATCACACTATCGTATCTTTCGTTTTTAATGAAATTTATATAAATGAGCGATTACAGTTAAAATAGACACACACACACACACAATATATATATATATATATATATATATATATATATATATATATATATATATATATATATATATCGATTATAGGTGCTGTTCAACTTATAATTACATGAATAATTCATACAAAAAACAAATATAGAGGTTAATGATTTAAATGGCGAGAATACATATTCGCAAACAATTTCAGTAAGTTACACTAACCCCGAACCTGTATATGAATGATATGACCCCTGTTCATAAATTCCAGTTTCATAAGGTCTTTTTTAGTTTTTATACATTTTTTTATTCTTGAAAACAGGACATGTACTTGACATCTTCCACAGACTTGTGAAGCACCTCCCCTTCAATCAACTATGATCGGAGATGATCGGAGATAACTCTGTGTTAATATTCTTAAGAACATCCACTAGGATTTTATCTAGCCCAGGGTCAAGACTTTTAATAAATCTTGAAACTCCCTGGGCAGTAATGAAAATATTACTGAAATTATGCTCCGTGAGACGTGGGAAATCGGGTAGTGGATGGTCTTTGTCATCTAAGGTGAAGATAGAGGGAAATATCGAAACGAAAAGCTTCGTCTTATGAGACGAGAATAATATGACCTCAGAAATATTTAGGCACTGACCCTTTGTCCCTGAATTTAGTTGGAGATCTTCCAATACTCCCGGGATCCAAGTTGTTTGATTCCGATATTGGCTTGGACTGCTTGTGCATAGCTACGCTTTATATTTTCAGGAACTCTCTTCCAATGATTGCAGTACATGTCCTACTATACCGTTCCAGCGGCCGCCCACCGCCAAAGAAAGGGTATATATATATATATATATATATATATATATATATATATATATATATATATATATATATATATATATATATATATATAAAGTCAAAATTCGCTTGAGGATGAAATGGAACTGATGTCTTTAATTTAATTACAAAATTAAATTCGGGGCTTTTAGCTTGCATTTTTGAAACATGGTTAGAACTGTGTAGCGAAAAATATATCTTAAATCAATTAATTTAAATATATATATATATATATATATATATATATATATATATTTGTTTGATTGTGAAGCTTGGAGGTGACAAAGGATTAAACTATGCCGCAACAGACGATGTTTACTCCTGCGAAAGAAGACGCAGGTTCTACTTCTGACGGCAGGGTGGGGGGGTCTGCCCTTATTTTTTTTAATTTTTCTCGAGTGTGCGCCAGTACCCCAAATAGCTACCGCTTAAAATAAAACAAAAGCGCCTATTACTGGTATAAACTAAAATAACGTAGTTCTGTCCATTCATTGGATGTTTTTCACCATGTAACTAGCTGTTTCTCGTTGCTGCTACGCACCATTTTCTTTCAGAATGTAAGCGGTCATGGTTCTCGACAACTTCCCATCTTCGGTTATTCTAAGTTAGTAATTTTCAAGGAATAAGGCCAAAAATTGAGTGATACCCCAGTTGCATGTTTAGGATGTTAACGGTCAACAAGTGAACGTAATTTCTCCTACTATGATGGGAGAATATAGTTTAACGTCATATAACTGAAATAACATTACAGCCTTGTTAATTCATGCGCGTCTAGATTAAAATTTTATTGTTAGTCCGTCAATATCTTTTGATATGCAAAGCGTTCTTAATTTGTTATCGTTATTACCATTCATCTTTTCCTTGGTTTGCTATTTATTCATGGAAAACCGTTAAGTCAATTAGGTGACGTTCCTCTCATGCTTTAAATATTTCCTGCGAGTGTTAGATTTTCCTGGCCCTTTATTCTCATAATGTGTTCCAGAAATTTTAACTGTCTTTATGATTTCATATACCAGGTTCGTTGTAGTTCCACCTCGAGTAATACGTTTTGTAAAAGAAATTAGCAACATCTGTTCACATATTCTTACAATGGAAATGTTTTCGTTCCGCACAGTCTGCACCATACTTGTAATTTTTTTTATTATACTAAGGCCACCTTAGTAAATACCTAAATAAATCATTCTGAGTGCTTTACACTTGCGACCTTGTGCCAGCCTAAATCGTGTCAAACAATACCAATTGCACATGGTTTGATTTTCTTTGAACTGGAGCCATAAAAAAAAAGCTGGATTATTCCTCAAAGGAGACATATTGCCATATAATAAATAATTTTTGAAGATAGTCCACCTTATATTTCTAATGTGCAGTCAAGCTAAGACATTTTTCCATAAAATATCATTGTTTTATCCTGATCGATGACAAAACACCGACTTCATTTTTATGAGAGCCTTTATACAGCCGGATTGTTCTCATGAAACATTATGGTATTTGCCGACATTGCTAACTGATGCCGGACACTTATTGTGTTGCCGATACTGATATTTTTGGAACTAGAAATATATTCTATTTTCTATGAATGATTTCTATGTTTTTATCTTTTCGCTATCACTGATGCAGAATTCTGCTGTTTAGTTTTCTAGCTAATACCTCGATTTCCAAGCTATAATAAAATAAAAGCTATATATAAAATGCCCAAAGTCTGTGCGTGAGTCGACACAAAACATGTGAGAGTTAATAAAATAAATCTAAACTGAATAAATCTAAACTTTCATTTGTCATCCGTGTGGATATGCAAACATTACGTAAAAGGATGAAATGAAATACAATTTTAGCACTCATTTCTTTCAGCATGTGTCATATTTTACCCAACTTGGTTGTCCTTGCTGAATAGATAAGTAACTTGCATTTTCAACTTCAAAAATGTAATTAATATATCTATTCATTTTGTGCATTCTCTTTTGTGATATTTTGTTTTGTTGTTGTTCTTATAATGAAATTGTTAGTCACTTAAATAAAATTATTTTCTACCTTGAAAATAGATATTCGCTTTAACACAGAAACCACTATTGATTATTACTTTTATCATTATTATTTTCTTTGATTTCTAGTGTGTACGCATTTCTTTCCGGGTCCCCTAAGTTTAGAAATGGCATCATGACATTTTCCACTGACACACACAAACATGCACACACACACACACACACACACACACACACACACACACACACACACACACACACACATATTTTACATTCATAAGGTGTGGGCTGTACTCGTGAGAACAATTTTTTGTATTTCTTTAAGGCATGGACTTCCAGAAATCCCTTTAATGAATTTTTTCCATTCAATTTTAGGGTTCCAGCTACAACAGGAATTGTTGATGTTCACATGTACCACATTTCTGAGATTTTAATTTCAAATATTGAGATACAAATGTATTCAAATGTATTTTTTATGTATAGAACAGAAGATATAAGTGGACGCAGTATAATGGAAAAAATACGTTAGAAAATAGATCACTTGCTGAAAATGTTGTTCATACAGAAGTTTTTCAGCGGTAATGTTGCAGTTTTTGTGTATATTATGTACTAGTGAGCTAGGCCAAATGACTTGACACCTTTTATAGTCCACCAATAGAAGGTTAACCAATCAGAAGGCGTAAAGTATTCAATCCGTCGTGTATAAAGGCGGCCATTTTGTTTACTCTATCCGAATGCCCAGTGTCAGCTTGTCAGGCGAAGAGAAACAGAACTACGCTCTGCTACTTTTACCGGGATATCCACTGCTAACTTGAAATACGCTTCCCTACTGCTAACCTCTGGATTCTATACTCAAAGACGACCGTCATCATGAACAACAGGTAAAAGAAATTCTACGACAACTTTTTCCTTTTTGTATGACTGGTTTTACGGGTAGGTTAAAACGTTGGCGTAATGAATTGTGGTTCGGATTGAGAAATGGGAGGACCATGTTCGAATTCCAGTTGAGTTCATTACATTCACTTGTGTCTTAATACCTTTGAGAAAGGTGTAAATCCACCCTGAGAATATCCCGTCTTGTTTCTTCGTATTGCTCAGTTATTGCTCGCTCTATTTCCACAGAATATGTGTCTTTACCATCTGTACTCTGGATTGAAATCAAATTTACTATACCATCAAATTCCCGAATTAAGTTATTGTTGCACTAGAGCACATCAATGTGGAAATCGTGGTATTGTACTCAATTTGAAAACCGTGGTTTCGCATGATAAATAAAGATACAGAATATGTTTTTCCACATCGTTACCGTTTTTCAGGAAGCGAGTTTAAAAGATTAGGTTTAGGTTTAAGATCGTAGCGTTTGTATTTCATTCTGGTGATAAGTGAAAGCCTTATAGCACAGCCTTATAAAATGTAAAATCTACTGAAGCTTTACAAATGGATGAACGCTTGTGAATACCGGGTGGTGTAAG